ATTAAAGATACAATTACCTTTGAAAATGGAAGTGTAGGGAGAAGCATAATTCACTGATTGCCTCTGTCTTCCCTTTTGTGTGGGCACTTGGTGTTAGTTGTCGCTGGGCCATTTGTACTCGTGAAAATTCTGCTTCATCCTTTTTAACCCTGCCTGGGCCTCCTGAGACCACTGAGACTTTCATTTACAATTGAACACTCTTCTGTGTGCTATTCATAAAGGCCTTCCATGGTGCTTTTTAAGACAATAAACAAGCCAGAGAACCAAGACTGAGAAGGATGTTTCTGTTTTGCTCTATTTTGATCAACTATGAACAGCAAATGTTACCAAGGGAAATGCTCATCTTTGGTCTGACCTGCTTATTCTGAGAATTTTTTCATCCAGTGGGCACGTCTGTTTACCTCGGCCCTGGCTCTGGCTCAGTTTATAAATCAAGTGCATGTTCATCTTGTATTCAGTGAATGCTAATGAAGGACACCTGTATGTCAAGGCCGGGAGCCCATTTGTATAATTCATTCCTGTGCAGTTTTATAATCATGACGTGTACTTTTTTTTCTCTTATCCTTTTAGAATCTAATTTGAATAGCAATAAGGAGTGTTAAGGAGGGCACTACTTTGGATGTATCATCTTTTGATTCTTTTGTTAGTATGGTGTTGATATGTGTGTCAAGGGAGGGAGGAACTCACACTTCCCACTGAGTTTATAATCAACAAATTCTTGTCCTGAGGACTAGAGTTGAAGTATCTGTCTCCCGAGCTCCTCTTTTAAAAACTTAACTATGAAAGCAGCTTCCCCTTCAAAGCCCTTATCATTTCCCAACTCCCTTTGCAGCTGCTCCACAGCCTCTGTGAGCAGCCACTACTTCCACCTCCGTGTTTGCTGATTTACGCCTTTGAACTGGCTGAGGGGTCACCTGGCGATTAGCCTTTCAGGAAACTGCAGATGGCAGGTGTGCAGCATGTTTAATCCACGTGCATTCACACTGATTTTGTTCGTCAGTGATCTGATGGATTGTCCTGGCTGTTTTCTTCACTCAATCGCACCTGTGCTTATCTCTTGTCACAGATCACCTTAAGAACTCAGAGAGACAATTTTATATTTCTCTTGACTGAGATCAGCTTTTCCTCAATGTGTCCAGAAGTCCAGATAAGGGACTTGCTTGGTAACTGTTCTGAATTCTGAATCATAGAGGGATCAGCGCTCTCTCTGGGGATATCACTTTAACACCCTCTGCAGGCATGTTTCCAGCCTCCTTATCGTCAAAGTTCTCTCTTTCCCAGGCTATGTTAAGCCTGAATAGTTCCCTAACAGGTTAAGTTTGAATTCTGATAATCCCTTTAACAATCTTTTTAAGGATTGCTAGATTTTATGCCAATGTTAGGATCTTAAAAAGCAAATGAAGGAAACCTGGGATTAGGGTGCATTTGGAGAGAGCGGATTATATTCTTCGTTATAGCTACTGGTCAAGTTAAGCATTGTTTTCTTTTCTTTTTTCAAGTATCTTCTTTTGTTGTTATTGTTGCGGTTATTTTGTTTTATTACCCACCTCCCTCTCCTTTTGAGAATTTTGTTAAAATATACTCTAGTTTATCTGGGATAAAAAATTCTATATTGTGATATGATATATTTAACTGATGCTGGAGGAATTTTGGTGCTCCTCAGCTGTGGGCACTCCTTGCTCACTGGAGTCATTTGTATAGTTCATGAATGTGGCTTACTTCCTTGGCTCACTCCTGCTGCAGGAAAGGTTAACATAGCAGGCCTGAGACTGCTCTCCTTAGAAAGGCCTGAGACATGCCTGGCAAGTCATCCCCTATATTAATGTAGATCTCTTGCTAAGTGACAGAGATGTCTCACTGTACTTAACCTGTTTGTACAAACAACGTGGCCCAGGCAGAACACTTGCATTCCTTCTGGGAGTCTGGAATTTTGGTATGTGTTAGGCAGAGGCTACCTGCATCCCTAGCCATCGTGAAAACCCTGGCACTTAGTCTCTGGTGGATTTTCCTGAGCAGCAGTGTCTCACTTGGTGCTGCACTTTTTGTGTGCTCTGGGTGACTCCTGGTGGGAGAGAGCCAGCACCAGCCAGTCTTCATATGGAGTCCTCCAGATGCTGCCCTGTCTTTGTTTTTGGTGATCCTGCTGTGCGTCTTTACTCTAGTGCTGTAATAAATCTTAGCTGTGAGCACAGCCATATGCTGCATCCCGTGAGCCCTTCTAGAAAAATCTCTGAAGGGGCGGTGGTTTTGGAGACTCCTGAACCCCACCTCCCCACCCAATTGGTCACTGTGAAATCCCTAAAATATGATTTGTTGACATTATCCTGAAAGATGCTGATGTGATCTCTAATCTTCTTGGTTTCTCACACATAAGCACGTCCCTTTCAGCTTAGAGTTTCCTGAAGAACTACTATAAAATGCACTTGTGTGTATAATGCACACCCATGTTTTTGGTCCAAACTTTCAGAAAAACACCCTTGGCAAAGTGGCTGCTCTAGGCCCTGAGAGACACATCTGGGAGGGGTAACACTCCTGCCTCCCACAGCTGCCTGCTCTGTGAGGGCTGCCTCTTCTCTCTCTCCTAGGAGCCCTTCCCTCCCTATCACACTGGGGGCTGTGGCCAGTGGGGAGGGAGCTTCTGAGGTTGGTCAGCCTCCAGGTAGTCAAATAGGTCTCTGGGGCCTGTGTGGGGGCTCATGGTCCCCTCCATGCAGCCGCGGCCCACCCTACCAGCCCTGCCACCGCCTTCTCTCCTGATTGCAGCGCTCAGCAGAGGCTACTCTGGCCTGTTCCTACCAATTCCTAGATGCTCCTGGACTGGAACCTTGTGCACCTGGTGGGCCCAGGTAGCAGCAGGGTGTGGCAGCCTTGGGAGGTCCACTCCAGCACCCACTGCTTTGCACATTCTTATTTTTATCTCAAAAATTTGGGCAAAAAAGTGCACATATGTGCTACAAAACATGGTAATATTGGTTTTGTGACTACTTTTTTCCTTCCCTAAAGGAGACTGTTCTATGCTATTAAATTTTTTCTCTTGTGGTATCACCTCTAAAGTTATTTTACAGTCAAAATCCATATCAATCTAATATCAAAAGTGGCTGGAAAACTCTAACATTACCAGCAAGAAAGATTTTATGTTCCATTTTGGAAGAATATATTAGAAGAAATTTTGCAGTACTATTATAGTTAATAATATTGACGGCTGGCCCCTCAAAAGTGTGCCCCATTATTAAAAAAATCTCTGCATCTTGGTTAGTTTGAGAATTTAATCTTAACCAGACATTTTTCGATAACGTTCAGAATTTAAGAATTACTAAAATAATGTTGACATGGTATTGAAATTTTGTCTTGTTCAAAAGTATGTTTTTATTATTTTCCTTCAAGATGATCTGAGACAGCTTCATACTCATGCATTACAATCTGCATTGTGCCACAGGTTGGTCAGTAGTACTGTTCTAACTGTCCAGTATGATCAAGCAGCTGGGATAGTTGTGTCGAAAGTATGGACCAATTAATGATTCTACAAAAGAATGGAAAAGCTCAGGACAGTCACATTGGTCAGATTAACTTTTTAAAGATCAACTTGTTAAAATAAGAAAAATATAACCTCTATGAAAATTTCTTGGTATAGCTAATAGGTCTTATGTGGAGTGAAATATACTATTAAAATGTGGTATGTTTTGGAAGTGATAGGCACTTTGATATTATTGAATCAGTCAATAAGGTGCAAAAAATATTGTATTCCAAGAGTTTAGGTTCTTTACAAAGGGATTAATGTTGGTACCATTTAGCAGAATCAGGCCTGTGTTTGTTACTAATATAAATATTTAAAAATATTTTAGTAGCTCCTAGCATTAAGCCTGGGAATCTGGGATGAAATATTTCCCATAGGCATGGATCCAGCCCTACAGAAGCTGCTGAATACTTTCAGACTCCAAGTGAGGGCTTTCTAGCGCTTTTGTAGGCTTTGTGGGGTATACAATACCCGGGAAACATAATGTATTTAAGGGACCTTGAATTTGGATATTTCAGTTGAACTTAGGGTAGAGATCTGTGCTGCTAAATAGATGTTAGTTGTTTAGATAATGAATGCAAAAAGCATAATTTGAAAGGAAAAAGTACTCTTTAGAAGGTTTTTTGGTACAGTACAGAGCCTCTAGATCAGCAGTTTGAGCTCATTATTCGGGTTAGCGGTTAGATCCCGTTTGCCTAACATGAACAGGTGCTCTGCACTCGTCTTCTCTGATGCCTGTCTGACCGCCCCTTTGTCTCTGTCTTTCTCTGTCATTCCTTGAGATTATTCTTAAAGATTATCTCAAGTTTTGATGTTTCCTTACATAATGATCACCTAGCTTTTTCTGATACACTAGAACTATGCTGTCACCGGTGTCGGTAACGGGCTGCTAGGAAATAACTTTAGAGGTTTTTGAAGGCAAATCTATGAATTAAATGGCACTTTAAAGCCTTTCTGGAAAGCATATGGAAACACAGCATAAGAGTGAATTTTTGGAATAATTTCTAAATGCAAAGGAAATGTACCCATAGTTTACATTGCAAATTTCACACCCTGAAGATTTGTTCTCTAGCCTCAGCTACACGTCCTATGAGACAGTCTGATACACACACACAATTTTAGGAAATAATTGACAAGTTACTGTGAACTCAGATGAACAGACTCACATGCCAGTCAGATTGCAAAAGTTCTGGCATACAGGTCATGCTGGATCTCCCTACACACTCAGAGATGCCCTGAAAGGTCCTACATTTGATATTTAAACTTTCCCTAAGCGAGGGAACAAAAGAAAGAGCTCACACACACATACTCTTGGGCTTAAGTATACATATGTGCGTATATATGTGTGCATCTGTATGCACACCTGGTGATAGCTAAATACATACTTAGGTAGAAATAGAGAACTGATGTAGTTTCATAAATTAGCATAGGCATGTACAGTACTCAGAGGAAACAGAGAAAGGGAGATTCGAAACGTGAAACGCACCATACTCTGGGACCTGCCCTGTGCCCCGCTTCAGCAGCAGCCGCGCCCTCCGTCCTCCAGACTTGATGAGCTCTATGGCTCGGGCGTGCGTCATGTCCCGTGTGCTTTCCCCGTTGATCTCAATGATCTGATCTCCTACCTGTTAATAAAGAAAAATCAAGTTAGCCAGATGTGGTTTTACTCAAGTTGCAATTTCCCACAGATTTAAAAAAAGCATCCCCAGGTTACCAGTTTCCTGAAAGCGTCTAAACAATGTGGTTGTTGCCTGCGGCTTCCTAGGAAAGGCTAATCCCTGGGTGCACCCTGACCACCGAGCTTTATTCACCTTTATAAAAATGAGAATATCAGACCATGAAGGTTGGGGTGACACATCCCTTTAATATTTAGCCTATAAGGCAGACTTTGTTGACTACTTAGCACTTTGTAGAACCTTACCCCTTAGAGAATCCTCTGTAGGTAGAGATGCCACTTCCTTTCTATAGGAAACGCGTGTGGTATATGTTCCTCCCCCAACTTTGGAAATCTTGTTTTAATGCCCTCTTTTCAGGGGCATTAAAACTGATACATAATAGATGTACACATTTCTAGGGTGCATGCAATAATTTGATACATTCATATAATTTGTACAGATAAAATCAATGTACTTGGGATATCTTAAATATTTGTCTTTTCTTTATACTTTGTGTTTTTTAAAAACTTAGGGAATATGTTTGGTACCACAATTCCAAATAACCAGGCACCTTTGCTTTGAATGCAGAAGTAAATATTGTAAGGCCTTTTCATTGAACATACTGCCAGCTTTTGGCTTAGTGCAGCATTTAATTCAGCATGTTGGATGAGAAGATTGGTTTTTGTGCTTCTCTGAGAATTTTTGTTATGCAGCATTTAAATTTCCCTGGGTGCTGCTGTGATATTGCCTTCTTTGTAAACAGCAGCTGATTGGTATTCAATTTTAATGATGAGTTTTGTATCACAGCCCCTTGAACTAAAAACAAGATCCTCCATGTTCCCCACATGACTAATGCCTTGGCTCTGTCTTTGCCGTGCTCATAGCCGACTGCCAGAAGCTTTTTGGTTAAACACCAGCCCTTCCTGAGTTATCAGAAATACCCAGGTTCTGTAAGCAGTTCCCTTTTAGCCTTTGTGAATTGATACATGGAATGAAAGAGCACATCATGGAATAAACCATGAGCTGATCATGTAACTCCCACCATATCACTACTGCCAGGAACTTCTTTTTATTATTATTATTATTTATTTTTCTTACTTATACATGTGTATATTAGGTGTCCACTTTTGCCTTCACAGAATTAAAAAGGCTAAATTTAATGACAATAACAATAACATAAGGACTGAGAACAAAAACCTCATAAAGAACGAATGAAGAGAAATACATTCAGAAAAGAAATCAGACGATTGCTGCAATGAAATATTGAGCAATAATAATAGTAATAATGAAAGAAAGTAACATTCACATTGTCAGATAGAGCATGTCTATTATAGAATACTTTGATCAGTTAACTGTATGTATATTATAGAATACTTTGATCAGGGAAAAAAGAAAATAGTGACTAATTCTTATATAAATTGTATTTAATTTTAACCAAAGTACATTACTTAAACATTAATTTTTAATTCAGCATGTTAATATGTTGTTTATCATATTGCATCCCCAGTTATAAGGGAAATGTTTGTAATTTCCCCTTTACAATAATATATTTTTTCCAATTCTAATAGCAGGTATATCCAGATTAAGTAGAATGGTTTTGAATTATTTCTTTTTCTATTGTCTATAAGATTTGATGTGATCTGTTTTTTTGAAATTATCTTTTACTTTTATTTATAAATATTAGTTGTCTATTTTTCTGAGACTTTAGAAAAAACAAAATAAGAAGAAGAAACTTCTGAATTAAAAAATATCTCATTTCAGTGCAAGTAACTTAAGATAAATGAAACAGGAATAAGCACAATGAATTGCTTTGCAAAAATGCTATTTTAGCTGGGTCCCTTAAACAAAGCGGACCTCAGCCTAAACTCTATAATGCAAATAGAATTGCAGAAAGGCTCTCTGTAGCCAAGTATTATCAAGTGGATGCTGAAGGCTGGGCAAGAAAGGAACAAAAAGTTTCCACTGCAGTGAAAAGAGGGCATTAAAACAAGATTCCCAAAGTGGGGGAAGAACATACACCATACACGTTTGCTGTAGAAAGGAAGTGGCATCTCTACCTAAAGAGGGTTCTCTAAGGGGTGAGGGTTCCACTGTGACGAATGTGAAGTCTTTGCTTTGCATACCAGGCTGCATGGATTGCCAAAGGCAGTGTGGTTTTGGGCAGTGGAGGATGTTGGCTTCATGGCATGACTTTCACATTCCACAGAAGGACCAGGAAGACAGGAATAAATTAATTTGTTTGTTAAAGGTCAACACTTTCCCTGAAGTTTCCTCAATTGTCTCCTTTCCTATGAGGCAACATGTATAAACTGAGGTTGACTAGCTCACCAGAGGCCATGTCTCTAAGCCAGAGGCAGAGGTGGGACCAATTATCCCTTCCCCAGTATCCCTCACCCATGACTGGAACCTCATGGCACAGTATTAAATTGAAGAAGTAAAGACAAAAGTTCCAATGCAGTTACATATATAGAGTCTTCGTTTCTGGCTGAGCTTGCTTCCAAGCTTCAGACTCGACACATCTGATTTGATTATGGAACATCTTTACCTGGTTGTCCAACAGGCCACTCAACTCAATAGCGAAAGAGTGGACTCACTAAAGCAGGTCTTTCTCCCAAAGCAGCTCTTTCTTCTCCTTCCAATGCTGGCTAATGGCACCACTACTCATGCAGGCCAGAAACCCGGGTTCCTTGTTTTCTCAATTTCTCTGCATCCGTCCCTGCCCTCACATGTATCCCACTGCTGGCTAGCTCAGCTCAGGCCTTCATTTGGATTATTGAAATTTTCTCCTACCACTCTCCCACCAGTCTCTTCTTCTCTTTGTCACCAGAGTCATTCTTCTAAGGAAAATCTTCCTAAAGGCATCCAGGCCCTTCCACATACCGCTGTTCTTGTTGCTTTCTGCTCTCCAAGGGCCTAGCGATCTCCTGAACTTTCTCAAAGTCAGCCCAAACATCTCCTCCTCTGGGGCCCCTTCACCAGCCCCATCCCTTCCCAAGAAGAAGTTTCCAGTCTCTCTGTTCAGTGGTTATGCCATCCCACCCTGTGATTTACCATATTCATTATGGGTTTATGATTGTCTGTCTTCCTGCTATGCTATGAGCGTCTTCATTTAGTTGATAATTTCTGAGCACCTCTTCTGTACCAGTCAGTCTATATAGAGTTAAATGGTACATTTCTATCTAAAATACATTTTAAGTCCCACTGGGGAGAAAGTGGGTAGATAAGATAGTTACTACTCAAAGTATCACTGCTATGACAGAGGCACTCAGAAAGTACTAAGGGAACAGATAGGAGGGACACCTAACCCAGCATGGGTGGGCGGGCAGTCAGGGAGAGCCGCCTGCAGGGGGGGACATCTCAGCTGAGTTCTGAAGTATTAGTAGGAGTTCCCTAGGGGAAGGAGCGGTAAAGCCTTCTAGGAAGAGAGAGCAGCATATGCAGAGGCCTTGAGAGTTGACCTCAGAGCATATCTAAGGAACTGTGAGTGGTTTATTTGCTGCTCAGGAGTGTAGATGTTTATTTATTTATTAGAATTTTGCATCAAGATGATCTATTTTGGAAACTCGGATGGTTCTAAGCCACTCTGTCGTGTGCCCCTGACATTTCTTCCTCCTTGGCTCACTTCTCCACTCAGCGGTGCCTCCTGAGTTCCCGTCCATTCTCAGGATGCAGGTTACATCATTCTCTAGGTATCCTTCTCATGCTTCCTCAGGGTCATGCTACATTTTATATCGAAGGCAACGGCAAGGTATTAAAAGTTTTAAACGTGGGGTAACCTACCTAGGGAAGCAGAGTAGTATTTAGAAAACTCCTTGAGACATCAGTGGGGAGGTGGACAGGAGAGAAAGGTATGAGACTGAGGAAGGAAGCTGAGTTGCGAAGTTGTCACATTGTCTATCCATGGGACACATGAGGAAGCTGGGGACGGAGGTGACAGGGAAACGAGGCAGAGACTGGGCTTAGCTAGCTGTGTCTGGCGAGTGCACTGTATGGATCTGTGAGGGAGTGAAGCCCTTTGCTGCAGCTCATCTCGAGACCCACGGCAGAAAGACTTCAAGCATTCTCCACCTCAGAATCGAACCTTCACAGCCACCTCTGCCTGAGGATACTTGTGTCCCAAGACTGATGCGTCAACAAAAAAAAACCTGTGGAGGGCAAAAGGAACCTTGTGCTATGACAGAAATAGTCATATCTTTTGCACTCTGGTCCCATACTTGATGATAGCCATACATAGGAAACTTTTTTCATTCTCTTGTGTGTGTATGTTTTTTTCTTTTCCCTAGAAAGAGCTTATGAGAATTAAAAGAAAAAATTAACATGGGGGAAAGGAGGGGTGGTTTGTAAAACTGTGTAGGAGGTGGGGAAGCAGAGGGATTCCAGGGCTTTGCAAGGGCTGGACTGATGTCCTTTCTGTGGGAGGCTCAGGAGCGAGGATCTGGGAAGAGGCAGGGACATTATTTTTATTACATTCCAGGAGTCTGGGCTGACCTCTTCAAGTGGCAGAGTTCTATAATTTCAGCTTTCTGTGTAGGGTCCCCTCAGATGGAGATGAGAATACTGTGATGCTGGTTGAATCTTCCACGCCTCTTCCCTATTCCAGCGTAGTAGCGGGGGGCAGTCTACTGATTTCCTGACTCATTGGGAGGATGGAAGTTTGGGAATAGTCCAAGATTTTACCAAACTGAACAGAAAAATGTCTTGGGAGTGGCAGTGGGTAGGTAATGGGTTGGAAATGCTGCTGTGACACAGACTCTGAATCTGCCAGGGTGTTCTGGGCGTAAAAGTGGGCCGGCTCACGTGGACCTAGCTTCAGTGGTAAAAGACTCAGTTTAGCTTCAAGACTCCTCTCTCTCCCTGGAACAACGGAAATTGTAGGAAGGTTTAATTTTCATTCCAAGATCAGTAGTATGTCTAATCATTTTAATTGGAACTCCCTAAATAAATTTGGAATGTGATCTATTTCACTTTCA